TTTTTTTTTACTTACCGGCACCCCCCTTCCCCCAACATGCCTGATCAAACAACTTTTACTGTACTTTCAAATGCCATAATAAAATACATTTTACTTGATTCCAGCATTCCCAACTAGCTGATAAATGTCCTATTAATGCTATATTTTCTCACTGAACCATATAGGAGTTCAGATTTTTTCCTCTTTCAGAAGTTAAACAATTGATTCTACCACAGTACTAATGTCTCCACAGATGTTGGAATAAATACTTCCTCAGCTTTGGCTCTTCAGAAATAAAAACGTGTGCAAGTGAATGAGAGAGAGAGATGGAACTACCGGTATCATTCAAAGAATACCACTAAAAGAAAACGATCTATGCTAGCTCATCCAAAAAGCAGTACTGAAGCCAGACGAAACTTCACCATTACTCTTTCTCTGCCTACCCATGTGTTATAAACAGATATCACACATACAGCTTCTCCTTTGTACTCATCTTTCCACTTCTGCTATCAGGGGAAATTATGAACATGCTTTCCTTCTGACAGTTCACCCACAGATCAACACTGGCACATAAAGGACATTCTTTTCGATCTTTTGCTGACCAGTTTAGATCTAGTCCAGCACAAGTACTGGAGTAACACCTTGTCTGCACTTTCAGTCTGTGATATTAGCCATCAGCAATACGGTAACTGGAAATTATTCAAAGTGAAGAAACACAGGAAACGAGGGACTGACGTCCTCTCTTCCCTGTCAGCCCCACTGAGCACTGGTCCTGAAAACATTTCTATTCGTCAACAAAAATATTTCTAACCCTGGCAGGTTATGAAATATTTGACCTTAGAGTATTAAAATATTTTTGCTATTTCCGTAAGTTAGCACGTGTACCAATGCTGTGGTTCCCTCTCGCAGGTACTGATCCTGAGAAGGAATCTGCAACCTGGACCTTATTTCCCTGTAGAGTCCCATTGAAGGCAGGGAAGAGAAAGGCGTCCCAGTTTCTATTTCCAAGAGGAAATACAATTTTCCAATTAAGCTACTTGAAAAGATACTGGACTTCAGATAAACAAGTCCAATATTTACTCCAATTAACTGGACTGTTATGATTGTCTCTCTTCTTGGATGTGTAAACAAGAACTACTTATGGTGTCAGCACTAGCATGGGATTCAAATACTCTCAGACGTCACTAGAAGAAAGAACCTCAACATAGGAATAAACGTTAACATTCCTTTCAGTTTACATTTAAAACGAGCACATGCTTAAGTGTTGTGTTTTTTACTCCCTCTTCAATTACAGCATAATTTAGCAGCCAATATATACTCCTGTGGACAGAGGTTAATGCTTAATTAAGTTTCAAAGCTGGGATTACAAGGTTTCAGATGGAGCTAAAACCCATTCTATGGGCTAACAGTTAGGACTTGTTTATGTGGGAAGTTATTTAAACCACCATATTTATCCCAGTATAACAGCCCACGTGGACACGCCAAGGTCTAGTCTATACTTAAAAATTAGATCAACCAAGCTATGTTGCTAGGTCCCTGTGCACCATAGTTAGGCTGACTTAACCCCCGCAGTGTAGATGCCGCCTCTTGAGAGATGAATTAACCCCTTCCGCTGATGTAGGAAGGGTCTACGCTACAGCGCTGTAGCTGTGTCACTGTATCGGCTCATGTATAGACAAGGCCTTATATTTAAGTACATTTGGTGCCACAAAAAAAACAGACAAGAGCTAAGAGGGGAAAGGGAACATTGTAATCAGGATTATTTTCAAGTCTGTTACCTTGTGAATCACCAAGACGAGGAAGTAATTGCTATACTTCATTGGAAAGGCAAGACTTCTTGTTTTCCTAGTTTCTATAGCGTTAAGTTATAGCCACAGACCTTAAAACAGTCACTAGTCCCTCACACAACGCAATACCATTTTGGCACTGTTTCTGGACTTAACATAGCAAGAACCAAACCAATGTAATTTTTTGATCCCTGGATAAACTTTTTTTTTTTTTTTAATAAATCTATAACTGAAGCAATCAATAGTTATGAAACGAAAGGCTAGATTTACAGGTAACAAAGGGGCTCGAAGTACATAGAAAGCTGTAAACGGTCACTCATAGTTTCATGTATACCTTTTCCTTAAGTCATAAAAA